CCCTACTAGATTTTTATGTATGGGGTTGTCTGAAATCTAAAGTATACTTCAATAAACTGCAAATATTGAAGAATTGAAGAACAGAATTAGGGCTGAAATTCAACAAATCCTGCCAGAATCCTTAACGAAACTGTTAGAATACTTTCAAGATCGATTTGCCTATTGTCAGGAAGTTAATGGTCTGCAATTTGAACATTTAATTAAGTAATTTGTTGTCCTATTGTTTAATAAGTTTTCAAAAAAACAAACCCCTCAATTTTAAATGTGTTTGTTCCGATCTACGCGCCTTCCCAAATTTGAAAGAAATCATTTGTAAATTTATTTATAACTGCATTAGTTGTAGAACATGGTACATGAGAAAAGTAGATGTTTCCATTTGAAAAAATAAATTCGGCGATTGTCGCTCATTTTTGGGCCACCCCTCTGTACACATGAAAAAATCCGCAGTCAAAAATAAATTTGTTTCATCCCACGCGTCCTCAATATATATTAGAGTCTGATTAATCCTGAACGAAGAAAACATCTTTCATAAAATTGTATTCTTTGAAGAGCCGTACCCTACAGTTTCCCTTGCTAAATACCGATTAAGACAACCTTATGTCGTAACTTGTAAATACAACAAAATAAATTGATTATTATATCAGTGGGCCAGTTATGTATATGCCACTTAAAACAGTGTCCGAACAAACAAAAATTTTGCTGTTCACTACCTATATGATACTGTCACACCTGGAGTTTAGCCAACAAAGTAGTGATAGGTAGTGTCAAAAAAGAAGGGTTTCATTAGTAGTCATACCTCAGGGGCGGAGATATGGATTGTGACATGTTTCTAACTTTGGGAGCTGCTATTGATTTGCTATAAAAAATTAAGATCATAAAATACAACTAAGGGAGCAACAGAAGAATTACTCTGATTACGATATTTTATCGTATCTATTTTTGCCTTTGAATAGGAAAATAATTGTTATGGATAACAAAATGCCTATTTTCTAAAATTTTTGTTTATTTATTTGGAGTTTCGATATGTATCGCCTCCAACGCTCTGGTTTTCTACATCAGATTAAATTAGTAACCTAATCTAACCAAGTTAAGCTGTTTATTGTTAGGTACGTATTCACCCCTATCTTGAGAACAGTATGTCAGTATATTTATTCTATTCAGAAGCAAACCATTGCATTTGTATAGTAAATTAATGCCAAATACGAAGCAAAATATGTACGTATACATACTTATGTAGACGTTCTGCACCTTCTAAACAAGCTATCTCATTAATGGATTCGTTTTATATTCGCCTGTGGCATGTGACTTGTTTGAGAACAATATGGTTTAAGCTGTACGTAGAACGGCCAGACGGTACAAAATCCCCTTTAACAGTTGCTTCACACGAAGTTTCACAATACCGTGAAAGCTCTCAAATCTAGTTTGCTTAACAGAATCAAGCCGTCAAGTTTGCTATTTAATCTCTTCCAGTAACGCGTTGAAAGTGATTACAGCCATTTAAATATAATTGTTGACAACTAACAATACAAGAAATTTTACGCTACGAATCCAACTAATTTAACAGACGAAGAACAGTACATCACCCACGAAAATACAACCGAGTCATAATTAAATAATTAAAATTAACAAAACAGTAGACTGTTATATGAACGTAATGATGCAATGTATGTGTATTTATACATATGTATACTTAGTAGAGCTGGGCTAAGAGTTCGGATACTAGTAAAGTACATCCGGATGTCAGATACAGATAGACTAGTGATAGCGCTCGGACACCGGATACCTACAAAATACTTATGCTTTTAGTTGCAAAATATATCCTAGGTGTGTGCTTTTTAACGCGCTTTTATTATATTAGGACTCGTGCCTGCATACGCATGTTTCGTAGATCATAGAGATAGATTCACATTGCCCACTTTTAGAATTTATAAACATTATAGGATTGTTTCAACAGTTTCAACTCAACTTGTTGAAAATATAATCAAGAATTAAAATTTCATTGGTTTTGTTTAAACGAGTTTTGGAAAGGTACTTTATGTGCTTTAGGTTAGTGTGGGTGGTACTTAATTGAAGTCACTTCTTGTAATTTTTCGTCTCCTATCTTTATATTCGCATTTTCTCTCCTTTTTCTTGTCTTGCATACTAGTATCTATTTTTATTTTACTTTTAAGATGCTAGGTACTAATACTGCTATAGCCTTGGTAGTTACACAAATTTAAAAAATTATCTAATGAAATTCTAGTTGACTTATTGCTTTTTCGTGGGGTTATGTAACGTTATCTACTTAATATTATTTCGATTAGTACTTGTAGACATATACCACGCAAATATGGAATTCCAACATCATGTAAAATTCTCCATCATTCAACGATGAAAATTAGTCAAAAATTAAGATTTGTCAATTACTTCACTCACAAAATTATTCCACTCTCCATAATTCGGTTTTGTTTTAAAAGAAATGATACAAAAACGAGAAAAATACAACACGTTGGTCGTTCTTTGTTGCTGATACAGCATTAAGTATCGTGTGACCTTTAATAGATACGTTTCAGTTATTCAACTGTTAAAATAATTACAGATATTAAAAAGAAAACAACATTCAAAGGTCGTTTTCGTTTAAAAAGATATTGTTTATGATTCAGAGTACCAATGGCTTTTTATCTGATAACCGCACATTCCTCCACACAATAATAAACAAAGTTGTAAACTTGACCTATGAACTTTGCAGCAATCCGTTAAATGATTCTAATCTAAATATAATTTGAATATAATATTCTTTAGTAGTATGTGTCTATTTATATATAATTGTGTAAATGTACATCTACATGTATGCAATTAATTAATAACTATTTTATCATTAGTTATCGGCTATTACTAATAATAATCAAGTCATTCTTCGTAAGTGATAATGAAAATTCATCAAACTCGCTTTGCTCGTTGGTGAATGTAATTAATTTGATTTCCATTTCATCTCGTTCTTTCATAAACATATTGGCAAAAAATAATTTAATATTACATCCAAAAAAATGTTAAGAATTATCTAACAAAAATAAGCAGAATGGTGTAAAAATCGGTTATACTTCTACTGATTATGAGTTTATTCTGATTGGGGTTCCACAGGGCTCTTATTTTCGGGCCAATGTTATTTTTAACTTATGAAATTTTTTTTTTTTTTTAAATATTTTACTATAAACATCTTGGTCTTACTTTTGATTGTAACTTAAAGTGGAACATTCATATGTGTTGGTACATCGGTAAAGGGGCTAAGATTATACCATTACATGATGTATTTTAAAGGGTAATATTTTAACTTAGAAACGTTGTAATAATACCTGCTTTCGTCCATGGTCGATAGTCTGAGGTGTTTTCAAAATTGTTATACGTACTAGTTATCGTCATTAAATCAATTACGATTGTCAAGTGCTTTTTAATTTTACCCCTCCTGGAATAATAAGTGCCAATAGTACCTACCTACAAAAAATTCATATTGGCAGTCGTTAATCATTTGGTAAAATAAATTTTAAATAAAATTTAAAAATCAAAAAGGAAACACTCTACTATTATACTGTTTGATAATGGTGGAATGGCCGAAACGAATTCTTCAGAATGTATGACAATTTTGCAAAACACACCAATTGTTTTCTTTTTGATATTTTAGTTTTATTTAGAAAGTTCATGGTGATCAAACGTGGATTATAACTCCATAGGCAGCTAGCGTTTTTATGAATTATTACGGCGTGCTGTTGAGATCCAACGAGACCGAAATCGCAATCCATGTCGAAGATTTTCTACAGAATACCACCGTAAACTTTTTGTTGTTTATATTTTTCCTGGTTTTCCATGCTTTTCCAAATTTAGAACATTTTCTTGTATATGTTAATGGAAATGTATGAAATCTGTTGTATATATTTCCTAGTAAATGTATACAATTCCAAAGCTATTTGGGAAATGTAGATGTAGAATATTGTTTCAAAGATTTTTTAATGCACACATCCAGTTAAAAGTATACATTTCCTAGGAATTGTATAAAATTCCGATATTTTAATGCCCCTGACCGCTGATATATTAGGGTATTTTATTCACAGAAAGCTTTAGTTTTGTACATTTCCTACAATTTCATACAATTCCTAGGAAATGTATATATTTCCCAGGATATGTGTGTATTAAAAAATCTTTGAAACAATATTTTATACATTTCCTAAATTTCATTTCCGGTAACATGTACATTTATATATATTTAGCCAATGGTACGTAAAATATTTAAACGTAAATTTAAACCAACATCTGCGTTTTTCAGATATCTACAAGGTAAATTTTTAGTTATTTAAGCTTTCTATCCAGAATATAAGTATATTCCTATTCCTAATATTACTACCTAATTGTTACTAATCCTAATGCTAATACAACAATTTGGCTGATCGTTTACTTAAGCGAGTAGATATTAGTTTTGAAACCGTCTACTAGACGAAATTGAAAGTAGAAAAAGTGTTCGTTACGACTATAACTTTAACATCATTTCTGACATGCTAGAACATTTTGTAGGTAGGTAATACTGTTTGGACATAATAAACTAGAAATGGAGGAGATAGAAGCACATACCTAATTTAGACCCTTTTATGTTCGTAACCTGCCCTCATTTTACTCAATTCTATTGCTTTCGAAAATATCTTTCCGTCTTAGCGAGAACGATCTAAAGGTTAATTTAGCACCGTCGAGCGTCGACATTTTCATGATATTTTCCCGTAGCAGCTCAAAATATCAATACGCCATTACGGAGGAAAGGTTATATTGCATACATGAGCAATTTACTTCGTTTTCTACAACGAAATAAAACAAAGGAAAATTCTTTTTGCAATTCGTGGTATAATGTATCGTAATTGCACTAGAACTTTTCTAATTAACTACTAAGTTCTATTATCTCTTCGTTCTGTGAACGTTTTTGATATATCATTTCAATTTTTGAAAAACTAATGTACTTAATATTATCTTCATCTTTTCAGGTTTGAAAATCTACAACCTGCTAAAAAGGAGAACGCAACTTCTCAATATAATTAGTGGTGAGTTTTTTTTGCATATTTTCAATGCAAAATAATATGTGAAAAAAAAGTAATTTTATAAATGCGGTATTTTTTTTTTCACAGACGCCAATTAATTTATTAAAACTATTTTTTATTTCCCTTATGTTTTACATTAAGACAAAATTGCTGGAGTAGTTTAGATTGCAATCAATAAAATCGAAACCATTTGTGAGATCTCATATATATTGTGTATAATTCGTAATTTATTCTTACAAATACCAATAACACTAAGATAGGAGTAATAACTAAGAGTCATCAAAATGTGCTCATTTGTTAACTGCGCAGTAAGGCAGTACGCATCCGACTGTTTTTTGTTTGACAAATGAAAATATCGAAATAGATGTGCAGTCGTTTATCGCGCAGCGAACGAACGCGTTTTTTGACAGATACATGTGCATTACTATGATGTATATATTGACCGAAGAAGTATGTAAACGGAGTGTAGCTTATACCGAGTGTACATAAGTAGGCATTAAGGAATCGAAAGTAGCAAATTAACCTTTTCAACATGTACATTATTTCTGACATGTTAGAACATTTTGCAGGGATTTGTTCCTGTTTCGTCACCTTACTCTTTTTATATCTGTCCGCAGGTAATAATTTATTTCCGATTCGTCACCTAATTACCTGAAATAAACTAGGTACCTCGAAATTACCACTCAGATAAATTATTTATGTAATTATTAAATTACTTTAATCAATCTTCCTTCACACTTATTCCAAGCTTAGGACTGGCAAAACAAAAAAGTAAAACTTAAAAGTTAACACAATGTTAATTAGGCGTATTTAAAGATTTTTCCTATGTCATCAAATATATACACAAAATAATTTACCTTTCAGGCTTTATCGGACATTAGAGGACTTAATTAATCATATTTAACAACAAAACTTAATTTTCTTAAAGCCTCTTGTAATGTTATATCATTTTTCAATAGTTGCTCTAAGACAGCTTGTTCGATATCATCTACAGTGGTATACTGTTTTCCTTCCCTTTGGAGTAGACAAAATGCAGTCTTGTTTTTTATTATTATTTGATAATATTGTGAACCATCATACAAGATCTTTCTAATTTCATATACTTTAGGGTGACTTTTTCCAACTCTTTCATTCAATAGTACGATAGCGAAAGAGTAGGTGACCAAACAAGAAAAGAGATGATGGATTCAGGCAAATTTTTATGAGGTGACGAAACAAGAAACTACCTCTGCAGATAATATCGTTTGGACATAATCAATAAACTAAAAATTGAGGAGATACACACATTTTTTTAGATTCATCATGACAAAGGCCTGATCTTTGATATTTCTATAGCGATTCAGCCATGCGTAATTGATATTGATGCTTTCGAAAATTAATTTTTTATTATTAGAAAAAGTCTACAATAATAACGACGACAGCAGAATAATAGATAGAAAGCAAAACGTTTCGCTCGCCTTTACCTAGACTGCCTCAGATTAATTGCGAATGTTCTGCAGCTTCTTTTAATCACAATACTTTTTGACTTCGTGTACAGAGTTTAATTCCAGATATTCTGACATTGTTCTCATCTAAAGCAACTCGTCTGCGGTTTGAGTTGATTAAAAAGATGGGGGCGACTGGAAAGAAGGGCGGCTGTGTTGTTGTTTCCTCACCGTCGACCCAACTTTTTATTTGCACATTGCACTTCCTCTTTTTAAAAACCATTGTACCCACCTTCACGAGCAAATTGCGTGATCTTTGTTTTAATTGATTTCGGGAACAAACTCAATTAGATAAGGTTAAACTACGTCAATATAATAAATCTTTTGGTTTTATTTTTTTAGACGGTGCTCTAATAATGTAGAATATTACAGAACTAGTGTCAATGTCCTAAGAAGTGTTCGAAATAGGCAGGCGTTAGTTAAAGAATAACAATTTTATACTTTGGTAACTACCTACAGTCTAACATGAATAAGCAAAAACTGGTTAAGTGAAGTTTTTGGTAATCTGTATTAAATATGATAAAACCTCCATAGATAAAAAGGGTTAAAATGGTATTAGCTATTGTAGGAATCAAGCAAACAAGGACTTACCCTAATGTCCTTAGTTACAATTCAAATATCATTTTCGTGCACTTTATTAAGGCTAATTTTTTTGTTCATTTTGAACGAATGTATTTACTTTTCAATGGAGGTTGATTAAAACTGTGAGACTTGGCTAATGGATGTTGGAGAGAATTCACGTTTTCAACAACCCTTCTAAAAATTCCTATTCACGTTCTAGAGAATGAATTGTTTTAATGGTTGCAACTTTTATTACGTGTTAGGGTAGGATTCGTAACTATTATTCTATATCCAGTGGAATATAGTCCTCTTTGATGCAAATAAAATAATGAAGTCCAATTAAAAATTTCCCATAAAAGTTGATTGAATAATATTTTATGAAAATTTAAAAACTATACTATGGTCGGTCACCTTGATCATAAGTAACAATGCAGTCTAATGAGTCGTTGGTTTGGGTTAGCGGTTAGTAATATAAATATTTTCCTTAAATTATGATTAATATCTACCAGAAGGGACGAGATTACTTCAATTTTGAATATTTGCTATGGTTACACCTAAAAGAAGAAGCCGAAGGAAAACGGCTTAAATGTATATTTTATAACACTTATTTGATGAAAAAGTACGTAACTTTTTAAACCAATTAAGAAGCTTTTCAGTTTCAAAGCAATTGTCCCTTTTAGTTAATAATTGCTAGTGGAAAATATTGTATCAGTTGGGTTACTACATCATAAGTATATTATGAATGAAAATATGATGCATTGAGACAGATACCTATATCGAACTTTAGTATAACAGATTCATCTGTGAATAATAAAAAGTAATTAAATTACAATTAAATAGATCCTTTAATATGACAAAAGATGTGGTGGTTTACCATTCGAAAGGCCCAAAACGAATAGAAAAGAAAAAAGGCTAAAAATATGAAAAACAGAATAATAATAAGCAATAATTCCAATAAAAGAATGGTTTAGTATCACCTAGTTCAACTCAAATTAGTTTATGATACAAAACATTTTCTGAGAGAAAAGAACCTGATCAATGTTCCCAATTTTAATAAAGAGAAAATGGCCAAGGAAAACGGTACTATTGGACAGAAAAAGTCCGGGAAACTCTATCTTTTGTGAATTGTGGACACCCTGTATAGGGACCAAGATTTTTAAGGCAAATTTGCGGGATAACGGCTGAGCTGTACTCGTATATGTCGCCCCAGATTCTTCTTCGCCATTTAATTTGAACCTCCGGGAGACACCTGGGGCCTCCCGTCCGTTACTTTACCCGATTCATTCTTCTCGACTTCGAATAATTCAGTTTAAATAGGTCGACGTGACATCGAAGAAAAGAACCCAAAACGATTCAGATGAAAAGTTCCGTTTATTTAATTAAAGAAACTGAAGAGTTATATTTTTTACGAGACAGCAGAGCTGTTATCATTTGTGCTCATTTGCACCGTGGAATTAAAAGGATCCGGTGTTCATTAATATTTAAATAATGTGTTGTTATTGGTAGAGATAATGAATGTTTCTAGTAGTAAAATCTGTTACGCAGTCTGTTCAAAAAGTATCACGAATTTTGAATTTCCGCAAGTTACATATATTCGATTTTCGATTTTTTTGTGTGGTGTGTGTCTCTCACTTATACCGACAAGTTCGGCCATGTTGAATGTTCAGTTAATTTTTGACAGCTGCTTTGCTTGCACGTGTTTTGACTCGTCTTCGATTTTTGCCTATTCCGAAAAATGGATCAAGCAATATGTATCAAAATTTTTGTGAAAAACAAAATTAAGTGCGTGGGCGCATTCCGAATGTTGACTGTGGCATACGAGGGTGGATTGATAAGTTTCCGGCCTGACCAAGAAAAACAAGGTTTTTAAAAATTTTTTTTTTTTATTTCTCAACATAATCTCCTCCAAGGCTGATACATTTCTCATAGCGGTGTTCCAGTCTATTAATGCCATCTCTATAGACTGATTCGTCAAGCTCCTCAAAATAACCATTTACAGCTTCGATTACTTCTTCATTGTCCGCAAATCTCTTACCGCCAAGCCATTTTTTGAGATTAGGGAACAGAAAATAGTCACTCGGGGCTAGGTCTGGAGAGTAAGGAGGGTGCGGCATCAATTCAAACTTTAGATCGTTGATTTTAGCCGTCGCAACGATTGACGTGTGCGCTGGTGCGTTATCGTGATGAAACAAGATTTTTTTCTTCGCCAGATGAGGTCGTTTAATTTTCACCTCGTGGCTCAAACGTTGCAATAAGTCTGCGTAGTATTGACCAGTGATAGTATTACCCTTTGCAAGGTAATCAATGTATATAATACCTCTTGCATCCCAAAAAACAGTAGCCATAACCTTGTTCGCCGAAAAAATTGTTTTTGCCTTCTTTGGAGTTGGTTCCCCTGGTCCAATCCACTGTTTAGACTGTTCTTTGGTTTCAGGAGTGTAGTGGTGGACCCACGTTTCGTCAACGGTTACGAATCGACGCAAAAATTCGCTTGGATTACGCTTATACAATGACAAATTTGCGGTAGAAATGTTTTTTCGAATCAATTTTTGGTCGACTGTTAGCAAACGCGGCACCCATCTTGCACAGAGCTTTTCCATATGCAAATGTTGGTGCAAAATATGTTGCACACGTTCATATGACATCTTACAGGTCTCAGCTATCTCACGCACTTTCAATCTGCGGTCTCCCAGCACTATTTGATGAATTTTTTCGATCATATCTGGAGTTGTGACCTCAACGGGGCGTCCTGAGCGAGGCCCATCAGAGGTGCTCACACGACCCTTTTTAAACTCGGAAACCCACTGCTTAACGGTTGAATATGACGGGGAGGATGTCCCCAGTGTTGAGTCCATCTCTTTTTTAATTTCCTTCGGCGTTAACCCCTTCAAATAAAAGTATTTGATGACAGCACGATTTTCCTGCTTTTCCATTTTTACGAAAACCACAGAGGCGTCT